GCAGGTTTGCATTTTCAACCGCAGGTTGCATGAACGTGTGCTCTTTTTGCGTCGTACACGCCGTTGATCGATGGTTTGTTTGAATGAAATGGCAGTAAATTGCGGTTTTTGCGCATCTCTCATCTCACGCTAATTATGCTTATCGTGCATGTATTCAAAGGCAAATTATTGGCTATATCACATACACATACATGCATGTGCACATACATAAAATGATATGATCAATGCTGCAGTCGTAAAGAAAACACGTAATTCATTTCGATCGAAAAATCAATGAAAGCATTCGTTCAGAGAGTCGACATTGCCGAAAAATTCCAAGCGAATGGAAATGACGATGATGCGTAGCTACCATGGGATGGAATAATAAACCATAAAGACCATTGTAATTGTTGTTATCATAAAATCATACAGCATAATAATCATCATCATTCATCTCTCATTGATATTGCAATCTGAAATGCTTCGAATAACAGGTTTCCTTTTTTATCTCTGTTTCTGCTCGACGTTCATTCGACGACGCGATGCAAATTAGCACATGAATGCGAACGCGGCCTTTGTTTTCGACAACAACGACGACAGCGACGAAAAAAGAGATGGATTTTGTTGGCAAAGAAGAATAACGAATTAAATGAAATTTTTATGCTTCATTCAAATTGATTATGTTTGAAGTGGTTGGCGCAATGGGAAATTCACCAAAACGAAACATATTATTAGGCGAATCGTTTTTGTCTGCAGCAAATATCAACATGATTCTTTACATTCCATTCTTGTGTATTTTTTTTTTGATCGAGTCTTCTCAGAACGGTTGTTTTTAGCGCCATTCAATACCCGAAATACAGACGCCCCAGTACGCATTAAAAACCATTTCAATGGAATTGACTGATTCTCAGTTCAAGCAATAAAACAAATGGTAATGCAATAACGGCGGAGGAGCCCGTATTCGATATTATACTCATTTGGCGTGTTTTATTTGCTACGACTCGAATTCAAATCATGCTCTCAAAGTTACCATATATTCGCTCACTGGCAATTTAATTGGAATTAAAGCAGGAATGGCATTTGATCGTATTTAGTGTCAAGAGGTCAACGATATGCCGCTTTTGTTTGTCGTCGTCGTCGCCGCCGCCTGTTCTCGCTCTTTTAACTATTCGACTAATTTGTAACATATGTATTTGTCTTCTTGCGCGCACGCGAGAACAAGCTTTTATTTGGTCTCGCGGCCCAAACTCTGACAGTATCATTAATGTGTGTTGCCATGATCATTTCATTCTCTCGACTCTTATCGCCCATACAATACTACCGACTACTCATTTGGCAGCCAACATGCATACTCATTCCAGCGAAATGATTCACACGGTGTACGGGCCGCAAAGCGAAAAGAAAATCTTTGATTTAGCGCACAGCCAGCAAACATTCAACAGATTGCTCTTCTCACTCGTGTGGTGTGTGTGTGTGTGTTTATGTGTCCAAAAAAACAAAAAATTCAATCGACTAATTACGCTTTAATCACCAATTTATCAATCCCATTCGCCCTTTCATCTGCCCATTTTCCCTACCGTTTCCATCTCCCTGTTCCACTCACACGCACACACAAACACACAGGCCATTTATTTGATTAGATTTTGAACCCGCGTCGAAGCTAAAAGTCAGCATGGAAATCGGCTCATTTGTTAACTTAGACAAATTGTCTTGAATGAAATTGCATCGAAATGGAGTTCTCTCTTCCAATCTCTTTTGCTCTTTTCTCTCGTAAATGAGTTTTCTTGTTCATTGCAATTGTGAATAGCGATTTATCGTAACCTGTTTCACAAGAGAAATAAAGTTTCCAGCCCAATGTAACTGTGTGGGCTGTTGAATTGTCTGGCAATGTAAATGTCGTTTGGTATCAATGTATATTTTGCTGGTGGCCAACACTTTCCACATACTCACTGTGGTGTTTTTTTTTCTCGTTCAGGTTCTTTCCGTCTCTCTAGAGAGAGGTGAAACAACATAGCAGAAAAAAAAACTGAATGACGTGGTCGGCTAGTGAAAATCGGCTACATTGTGTCTATCTTTCGGAGTGTGGATTCAATGTGTTGGCGCTCGTTCGATAAAATCAATATTTGGAATCGAAATTCAATACTCGAACCTCGTTGTTGCATCAATAAACAAAATCATAAAATTGAATTTTCCACTCGGAACTTACACTCGCAAGATTCGTGTGAAACGAGAAAAAAAAACGGCCATTCATGGCTCTCTCTCTGTGTGTCTATCTTGCTCGCACTTCGAGAGAGGAAGCAAAGTAGTAAATCAATACAATAAATTTGAATAACATTCACCGGATTACATATTTGGTTGAGTTGAATCAATTACATTATCGGAAGTAGATATCGATGATTTGATTGAGTCGTTCCCATGTGTGTTTGTGTACTTCGTGTGTGAGTGTGTGCAGTGTGCAGTGAGTGTGCACATTCCAGCACATAGTGAGGGCATTGTTTCGATTGGCCTATTGTTTTAGGAGGCAAAATATGCAATTTTAGATATCAAACATTGACTTGATTGCATTGGCATATTGTTCGAGGCTAATTTATTGCTCGACAGCCCGGAATAATTAGCATATTGTTTTCGCCGTTTGTATGTGTGTCGGTGAAATTTAGACTGAGAGAGATAGACTTGACGTTGAGCATTTTTTTTTGTTCTCCGTTCGTTCATTCATTCACAATCGAACCAAAAAATAGAGCGTAACAAAATTATGACCATTGATTGATTGGAGATGCGAAAGCGCCTCAAACAATAACAAAAAAATGTATTGGAATTGTTCAAAAAACCCATTTGTATGAGAGGATTTCATTTTGATGCTATTCCCGTTTTCCACAAAACATTGAATGAGTCTATCTGGTGATATTTTTCAACCAGTTTTCGGCAATATAACAAATTGCGTATTTTTGTTTACTCAACAGTCAGAGAGTGAGAGAGAGTGAGAGAGAGTGAGAGTTATTTTTCATTTTCAAGTACACTCGCACATAACCGTAACAATAAAACTGCAGAAAAACTGACCGGCCACACAATAAATCTTTTGACGATGCTTGCGTGTGTAATGTTTTGGTTGTTATTTTTTGAAATGCAGAACCGAGAAAAAATACTTGAAACTCGTTATTGGTCGTGTTTGTTGTTTTTTTCGCTCTACAATTTCACTGTTGAACAACACAAATAGAAAAAGAACATATCATCGAATGGAATAAACTTTTTTTGTTTGTGTTTGGTTTCATTGCAACTGCCGCGTATTATGTTATTCCTTGAATTGCAGCATCATGCGTGTTTTTGTGATAGTGCAAAAAATAAACATGTACGAGATATTGCGAAAAATCTGGATAATGGGACATAAAAAGTGAAGGGACAAAAACAGTATAGTATCAAGTGGATGAAGGGTAAAAAATAGTCTGGTTGAATTTAAATCATTCAGTATCTCATGGCAATGCTTTTTTCTCTATCTATTGTATGAAACGGATGCACTGTTTGAACCGCACACACAGCTGATGTATAATGATGTTTGTGATATTTTTGACTTCATTTTTCCATTCATTCATACACACGATCAAATTCAGAATACGAGCCGAGCCTATTCAGGTATTGTCGAAAATGACATGATTCCTATAGATTCGGTTTCATTCTCGATATGTTTTCTCTTTCCCTCTTTTCCTCTGTTATTCTCTCTCTCTCTCTCTCTCTCTCTCTCTCTCTCTCTCTCTCTCTCTCTCTCTCTCTCTCTCTCTCTCTCTCTCTCTCTCTCTCTCCCTCTCTCTCCCTCTCTCTCCCTCTCTCTCTCTCTCTCTCTCTTTTCTCCACATTTTGAAGCCGATTACGAAAACAAATCAACATATTCGGCTCATGACTGCTGACCATATCTATTCTATTTCAATGGGAATACATACAAATACATTTCCATATTTTAAACGCTGCAATCTAAATTCCACATATTTGATTCGAATGTACATTTTTTGTTGTTCGGTTCTCGAATTTTTTTTTCTTTTTCGCTTGCCACCTAAAATGTTATTCAATTTTTGTTTTCCACCGTCGTTTTATTTTCTGCGGTAAAGCCAATATTTTTGTGTTTGTTTTTGGATTTGTTTGTGACATGAGCATGACATTCATGCGTTCACGTTTCATAGCCGCTGCACAATAATAAATAGATATCTAATTACGACGTAAATTGACGAAACAAGTTCTCTGAACGAAAATACATATGTGTGTATGAGTCGCCGTGACTCGCTGCCCGTCGTCGTCGTCGTCATCGTCGTCATTTAGTGATCGTAGTTGTTTAAGAAAGAAAGTTTTTTATCAAGTTTTTTTCTTCTTCATGATAATAAAAAAGCCATTGGAATTCGATTTTTTGCTGCCGTAAAAATATCGAAAATGAACTCGAAATCGATATCAAATAACGCAAGTAATCTTGATTTTATAAATAAAACACACACACAGTAACGATTTCAAAGTCAAACAGATTATGTTTGTTGAGTGTGAATGAGCAATGGAAAGAGCCTTCAATCGGATATAGTATGAATAAATCAAGCGAGAGGTTTGGTGTATTGCAACCATCAGAATCGGTTTGCGTTCTCAAAGTCACATTGAAAATGCGCTTGAATATTGCATTACCTCATCCGTAATCAGATGTAACGCGGCGATAAAAAAAACATCAATATTATCCACACCTAGTGTGAATGATGATGATGATTCGGTGTTTGGGTGTGCGTCACGCGCAAAACATACGAAAATGAATTTCGTGTTTGTGTGTGTGTGTGTGAGCGGCTGGTAAACAAAAGTATATTCTGCGCATCGGAATACGAATTCCGAGTTAATTCACCGTTAATTGGGCCAAAAGACATGAATAAACATCGAAAACGAGATACTAATAAATATAATATGTTTTTGAAATGGAGAAGTCGATGCATCGAATATTATGGCTATATTTATCGATTATACCCAGCAATAAGTAAACAAGTAATTTTAAAAATGAAACTTACCGTGAAATCTATGCGGTGATTTGATATTTCAGTTGATTTGATGAATGCTGTTGAAGTTGATATCGGTTTGCTATTGTTTTTATATACTTGTAAAATCAGCTTAAATCATCAATTTCACTCGGCGGCTAAGTAGAAAATTATGTGTCTTCTATTTTTAAATCGCCCAGCCGCGATAACAATTTCTCGCTTTCAAATAAACACAAATTAAACACTGTTTACATACATATAAACACCGTTGAAATCTGGCAATTTAGTTGGAAAGAGAATCGAAAGTGTTAATTCGATTGGTTTGACTTTTTAATGTGCCAAACCGCAGTAAGCGCACAAATGGCTTTTTGAGTTAAGTGTTGTTGGTATTGCACAGCACAGAAAGAACACACACACATAAAATAATCACTTTGATTTATGCAACGGCAGGTTGTCGATCGATTCGTATTTTATTTACTTTTTCTTTTTCTTTTTTTTTCGGTCTTGTCTTGATTTTTATCGGTTTATTTAATATTTTTTTCGTTCGGGTCGTTCACACTTCACACACAAAATTTCAATCGTACACGAAATGCACATTGGTCCTTTATAAATGCGGTGAATTATTGTATAAATAACGTTTTGGTGTTGAGATAGCGCGAACACGAGGCGGTTCGCCTATTACCAAAAAAAAAAACTACACACTGTATCTCGAACTGAAAATCTCGACGCTGAAACGAAATCAAGTAAATTGAAAATTGAACGCTTTTTTACCCACAAAACTCAATGTTTAACATGATTTATTCACTGCGCAACACACTCAGAAATCCCACGGAGATTTAATTAAAATCAATGAGAAAACTTCATTTTTTTTTTCTCGTATAAAATGCACAACAAACACCCAACTATTGAGCGCACATAATTTAATTGGATCCATCTATGGATCGATAATTCAGTACTTTTTTTTGCTTCTTCTGATTCTTCTTTTTTCCGGCCAAATTCACTATTCAACATAGTTCAACTTGTGAGAGAGCAGAAAAATCGCTGTACACTGAGATAATTTGATGAAGCGAAAACTAAAATTATTAAAAACGTAGACGCAATTTTTCTTTATTATTCGTTCCGATCGATGGATTCGACTACCGTCCGATTTTAAATGCCACTGTGCTACGCTCTTACAAATTGTTCCACTGGCACTCAGCACACAACATTTTCAAGCTTGCGGAATGTACGAGAATTTTTTTTTTCTCCTTTTGTCCATGAATTTCATAGCGATCTTTTTTTGGTATGTGTACTGTGTGTGCGCTGTGTGTATCAATCTTGGCAAAGCTACTGTGATTCCTGCTCACTTCGATCTTATGCTCTCGCAAAATGTGCGCATAACCACAACAACAATGGCAACAGCGAAGAGAGGCCTAAACAAAAACCAGAACGGCAACAATACTTGGAAATGACCATATTTGCGGAGCTAATATTAGACAGAAAAAAAAATATTTGCGTTTATGTCGCAGCACGAAGAGTGCGAGTGTGCGTGCGTGCTTAAAAACGCAGAAAAATATGATCGATGCAAACGAAATACACAAAGTAAAGCACACCAAAATGCGAGATGATTTTTGAAAGGAGCACGCGATCGTCACGAGATCAACCACAGTCAACAGCCATACACAAAATGTGTGGCATGGTGCACGCAAGAACGTGTCCACAAAGCACAAACTGGATCAAATTACTAATGTTTTATTGTTAGAAATGACATATAGAATCGTACGGCAGTCGCAGGCGCAGAGAAAATCGAAATTAAAAACCAAAACCGAACAAAAAACAACAACAACAGCAACAAATCACAATTCACATGTGTTTTTCATTGAGACAACAAATGATGCGCACACATTTAGCAATTTGATTAACCGGAGCCGCATCACACACATCTCTTGTCGCTGCCGTAGCTTAAAAAAGAAATTCGTAAACAAATCGACACAAACCCTCTCGAAAATCCCAAAAACCAAATACACGAAAAACGGAAAGACCAAAAACCAAATCACGGCATTCGATATTCGTAAAGATGAACGTAATGAGAAAGAAAAAATGTTTGTATCAGTGTAGTAGCATTTAAAAACAAACGCGAAAACATCGTACACAACATTTACCGACCGAATTCGAATTGTAACTGAAACGATCGTGGCCTGTGAGAAATGTTAAAGGCGTTCGCGCACACGCGCTCCACTCATATATGAAGCTTAAGTAATGCCTTCGTTTTGTTCTCATTTTGTTGTATGTTGCCCGTCTCTCTTTCGGTTGTTTGCTTCTGCTTTGCGTTGTGTTGAGCTCTGGTGCTGTGTGGCGTTTGTCTTGTGTGCTGTTTTCGCTGCTGCTGCTGCTGCTTGATATTGAATGAATCGAACCGCTGTTGCTGTTCGAACTGTCGTCGGATGGATGTTTTTGTTTTAGTCTCTCTCTTTCTCATTCTCTCTCTCGCTCTGTCTCGTGTCAATCGACCGAATATGTGTAAAAATATACACATGCGGTTTATGATTGCCATAGTACTAGAGCCGTGGTAGAGCTACTCACAGCAGCACAATAATAGTTGGATTCGTTTCAATTTGAATTGACTCTGTGCGTTTTTTTCTTCGTCTCTTTTCTGTATCGTAAACACATAGACATGCATGTGATGAATGGCGAAGGCTTGTGTATGCAAGTGAATGCGTAATTTATGTACGTTTTTTTTCTCTCGTTCAATTCTTTCTTCCTTTCTCATCTTGACGGTTTTCATTTTGCACGGTGTGGCGACTGCAAGTAGCACAAAAGGAAATTTATTATATTCGGTCCACATATTGAATTTCACACACACACACACACACACACACACGTATGTTTCGCAGAAAATGTGCGCCGGCATCCGGACAGCAGCAGTAGCAAATCGATTTAATGCATCGACAATTGCACTTATTTCATGCCAATTCTTTTATCGCTGCCATTGCTTCTTCGCGAAGCGATTTTTTTTCACCCATTGGTTCAAAACATGATACAGAGCATAAGCAAAGTGAATTCTTTATGGCATTCACCCTTTGCCACTGGCATTTGGTTTGTTATTTCAGCGAAAAAAATTTTGCTTCTTAGTTCGAAGTTCATGTTATGAACTTGCTGTTATGAACTTTGATAGCCACTGCAAAGGGTCAGAATACAGAAACAAAAACCACAACAATCAAGCCGTCTATCCAAAAATGGAACCTGAACATACTTAAAAAAAACTCATTTAGCTTGGAAAGCCGTTAGCGCGAGCAAACGCACCGCAATAAATTTGCGTGAAATTCAATTTAGTTTTCTAAATAAATTGCTTAATTTACATGCTAATGAACATTGTTTGTGGTCACTGAATATTGATGAGAAATCGATCACACATTTGGTCTCACCGCTCGCCGACTCCATCTCAACATTTCACAATGAAGATGTTTGTTTACATTTTTCTGTTTCATCTCGTTCCTCGTTCCTCAAACTCCACGCAAAACGACAATGATTGTTTATCTCGGTCGTGTATACCGTGTATGAGCGCGCTTGATTGGTTTCGGTAAATTGTGTGAATTCCTGATACGTCGCGGTGTCTAAACAGATGTTAAAGTGCCTACGTTTGTGTGTGCTATCAAAGCCATCACAACAACAACTAATTCTCTGAAGCAAATGAGTATTTTTTTCAATAAATTTGAATGAGCCGAACACACGAAACGGGTATGAATGAGTAAACGACGAAACGAGTGATGAAATAGGAATGATGCAAAAAAAAGTGATTGCAGCTTGCAGCGCACACCAATTTGACGATGACGCCGACGATGTCGATCGAGAGAGGGATAGAGACACAGAGATCGGGAAATGTCGAGTGGCAATAAAAATCAGCTACTGAATGCATGCTACGAAATAAACGTTGTAAATGATTCTCTAGAACACAAAATACGGTGTGTATGTGTACGGATTAGCCAACTCGACCAAATGCGACTGAGATGAGAACATTGAAAGTAAAACTTTTCTCATTTTACTCCGAACCGACCATAAAATGTCGGAATGAATTTACAATGGTGCTTGAATAATATGGTTTTTTTTTCCTGTATGAATCAAAAGAGTTACGCAAATATCAAGCATATTGCAATTGCTGCTGCTGCTGCAAAAAATCACGACTTCACCTAGGGAAACACGGCCACTGGGCCTAATTGAACACATTACATAAGCATTTTTCATGTAGGTAATAATGTCGATGCACTCCTATATCACAAAATATGAGATTCTTGGAAATTCGGAACGGGAATAAAATTACAAAGCACGTCGACATAGCCAAACAAAAACGCAAAATAAATGGAAATGAGTAGAAATTAGAAAGGAAAAACCGATTTAGCTTGGAAAATCGCCTTTAAATTCTTTCAGCAAAAAAAGTGAAATGAGCAGAAACCTAATATGTCGATTATTTTCCAATTTTCTCAATCAACAGAAAAAGAAATGATTCGTTCGAACTGGAGTTTCGTGATGAAAGCAAATAGTATTTGCTTTTGTTAAACACAAAACTATTGGTCAATTGATATCAATTTTAGTTTCAATAAGGCGACGTTTAAAGTTTTAGGCTTATTTGTGTTGTCAATGATGAGATTTCAGTTTCGGCCGAATAAGATGAATAATTAATAAATAAATGAATTTTAAGGTAAGTAAACAATCGTTCCTTTCAGGCTCAATAATATTTCGTTAGTTGGCTTCGAAAACCATGCAACAATTTTCACAACTTGTTGTGTTATTATGAGTTGCATATTGGCACAACTTCATGATGTTGTTTTTTCCCAATATTTTAATCTGTTAATGGTTTACAGAGTAAAACAAGAAAGTTCATTTTTATATTTATTGTACATTTTATGTACAATGTACGTTTCATGTAACGGTAAAAATGAGGAAAATAAACCTAGTTCAATGGCACATTATTAAGTTGTATCAATTGATACTTAAGTGTTGATTATTAAAATGTGTTCCTAAATCCAGCTGATCAAATTGTGCACAGAATTGTGCAGACGTTTGTTTCAGAAGTCTTCATCTAACGAATATCATAATTAACAATCGATATCGATTGGGTATTATTTTGGTTTAAGTGAAGAGAAAAAACCGCTCACGTTCAAAACCAAAATTCAAATACCCCTCACGTTCATTATGCACTTGAAAATAGATTTGTGTGCCACTTGAATGTCCTTCACATAACTTCATGAACACATTTGGCACAAAATGATTAAAGCACGATTTGTAGAAGAAATTTAAAAAAAAATGTATAAAAATACGTGCAAAACATTTTTTTTTGACATTTTGTCTTCGACACAGGGACGAGTCAGTCAAACTATCAAGTGAAAAGAACTGTTTGTCCAAGATTGGGAATGTATTGTAATCAGAGTTTGATTCCATCGCATTGTGAGGCACAAAGCGTGGGAACGGCAAATCAGCTGTTTTAAAGTCTAATTCAGACTATATTGACATTTCAGTGTTCGCTGTCGCCTCCAGAGATGTGGCCAAAGGACTATGGGAGAACGACTATAAAAGAAGGCATGTTTTTTTAATATAATTTTAAAGCAAATTGAAATGTGTTTCAATTAATTACCATCAATAGACTTCAATATTGATTGTTTGAAAAGTTCATTGAATTTTTATTGATCAAAGGATTGGGAGATGTCGTGGATTTTATTGTCGTTGGTGGTGCGTCGGCTGGATGTGTCGTTGCAGCTCGATTGAGTGAAAATCCTAAATGGAAAGTCTTACTATTGGAAGCGGGAGGCAATCCACCGATCGAATCTGAAGTACAATCGTAATTTTTAAATGAATATTTTCATTGAAAATGGAATCATTTCCAATTTTTTATTCGAATTCGATGACAGATTCCAGCTTTGTTTGGGAGTATTCAAAGAACAAAATTCGATTGGCAATTCAGCGTGAAATCAGAATTGACATGCAAAGCAGCTGTGAATGAGACATGCAGATATACGAGGGGGAAGATGTTAGGTGGTACATCATCATTGAATGGTAAGCAGAGACCCAAGGTAACTTGATTAATGTTAACTTTGATTAAATCTGACTATAAATAAGAGTCTTATTATAAGACTCAAATCATTTGAGTCAAATGTCAATAAAACAACGATTCAGTAATATACTACACAATCTCCCTACAGGTATGATGTACACAAGGTGAGTAAAGGGGCCAATAAAGTATGAAATAACAAGTACAAACCAGCTGAAATTTATTCTAGGGGTAGGAAGAGGATTATGATGGCTGGGCTGAGCTGGGTAATACCGGTTGGGATTATGATAGTGTTTTGCCATATTTTAAAAAATCTGAAGGAAATCAATATGAACCGTTTGTGTTGTATGGAAATGGTGAATATCATAATGGCAGCGGTCCAATGAAAATTGATTTTTACGGTGCAGACGGCCTGGATGCGAAACGGAAAATTTTCCTTGATGCTGCCACTGAAAGCGGTAATCCATTAATCCAAGATATCAATGCGGACAAAGATTTGGGATACTTGAATATGCAAGCATTTTATGCGAATGGTCGACGGCAAAGTGCCGCCAAAGCATTTTTGATTCCGGCAAAAATCGAAAAAATGTGCATGTGATCAAGCATGCTTTTGTTAAGAAAATCCTTATCGATGAAAATAATAACGCGTACGGTGCGAAATTTACATACAAAGAGAAAGGAACGTTCAAGGCGTGTGCACGAAAGGAGGTCATTGTTTCAGCAGGCTCATTTTTGAGTCCACAATTACTGATGAATTCAGGAATCGGGCCAAAGAAGCACTTGGAGAAATTCCATATTCCGGTGAAGGCGGATATACCGGTTGGACGAAATTTGACCGATCACCAATCGGTTTACGTTTGGTTTCGATTCAATTCCACGGAAACATCGTCAACCGCACAATTGGATAGTCTTTATCAATATGTCGTTCATGGAACTGGGCCGTTGACATCACGAGGAGTGACAAATGTGAATGGATTTATAAATATCGCCAATACAACTGGCGCACCGAATATTCAGGTTCAAGTATTTTACTGTACGGAAAATTCGAGCGCTTTAACATCATTCGCAAGTGGTTATAAGGATGGCATCAAACAAAAACTACTGAATGAGACCTTAACTCATGATCTTGCCGCTGTGGTCATCTCCAATATTCATCCAAAATCAAGAGGTTACGTCAAATTAAACCGCACATCGGTTTACGGCAAGCCAATTGTTAATCCAAGATTCTTCAGCAACCCAGATGATGTCGAGGTATTACTGCAAGCCATGAAGCAACAACTGTCTTTTGAGAATACTACATCGTACCAGGCAAATGATGGTGAATTCGAAGAATGTGATCGTTATGATTTTCGCTCCGATGACTATATTCGCTGTTATATACACTACTTCGGTAGTTCGAATGTGCATCAGTATGGAAGTAGCAAAATGGGACCCGCTTCTGATCCGACAGCAGTTGTTGATCCACGTCTGAAAGTTAAACATATTGGAAATCTACGACAAATTGATGCTGGAATGTAAGTTAATGTCACGAATTGCATTCTTTATCACGAAATTAATTCCATAACTCAATCAAATAATTCGAAATTCTCAACAATTAATTTGATTTTGTTCTTTATTTATTTGTTATTTTTCGCAGTATCCCGCATTTCGTGTCCGGAAACACATACGCAGCTACAGTGATGATTGCGGAGAAAGGTAGCGATTTCATTAAAAGTGATTATGGTTTTATTCCTCAAAATTGAATTTAAAATGAAAAATTGTTCGAAAAGGAAATGAAAATATATCGAAAATTCGGTTTGAATACGAAAAGATCATTCGGAAGAAAACAAATTTGGAAACGATTCGGAAAAGTAATGAAAAAGTGTTTTCATTTTACAATTTCTCAGGGTTGGATTTGCAGGTATTAACCGGCATAAAAATCTTTATTTCATCTATTCATATCGATCGCATATAGTTTTCGCTTCCAAAAAATGTGTCGCATCAATCGAATTTAGATTCAAAATTTGTAGTAAAAAGTGTGTAAATTGGATTTACTAAATTTTACGCACGTTAGTTATGAAGTTTCGATCAAATATTTACCCAGTTGTTCACTGAGTTGAACCAAAATTTAATATATTAAGTTTGAATTTCTTTTTTTCAAATTGAGATGTGATTACTAGGGGAAATATTGATTCAACTGTTAGCATCAATGGTGCTCCCGTCACTCGTGCATAGTATACACTTCATTCTATCGTCCACTCTGTGATTTCCTCTACGTAATCAAAGAAAGTTGGAAAACAAAGACAACGTTTCGAATCGAATAGAAACAAAAAGCGCAATTCAATTTTATAGATTGAACGCTGAATCGTGAAAAAAATGAACATTAAATAGAAAAATGTTTAATTTTCAATACGAAGAAAGTATCCTTACATCAAACGTTTTTATTTCTATTTCTTCAAAGGCAAAAGACAAATGAACTCATCAAAAGTCATCATTCAATCGTATAACTGTGTTGATGTGTTTGAAAAAAATGCACGATTCTAAATCAAGCTGTTTAGAAAAAAGCACTGAATTAAAATAATTTACGTTTTTTTTGCTGTGAAAAATACTTTCTAACCGCTACCATGTTCGAGCCCATTATCTATGTCAAACAATGTGATTGGACGCCGTGAATGCAGTGCAACTTTGTGAAATTTGTGAATGTTTTGCTTCTGGTCGCTTAACAAGGCGAACATTTGACGTCTACAAAGCCATTTATTAAATTAAATTGAGATCAGTCGCTGCATCGTGGCTGTTTTTTTTCGGCAACCTATTATAAGGTTTTATACACGGGTGAGCGAGAGAGAGTGCAGTGGAAAAACTAGAACTACTTGAAAAATTGATGTGGCCATAAATCTTGCATCACGAGTGGAGATGCAGAGACCGAGAGGTAGAGAGATAGGATGAAAATCTCCCGCAATGTAAAACCGACGAATGTGTATTTTTATTTTTGGGATATTTACGTACGTATAGTAATGTACCAGAAAAACAAAACACTTTGGCATTCACTGGGCACATGTGAATGGTTGCACTCGAAACATTGATCCAGCTGTTATCGTTCGCTTCGTTGCAACATTGTATGTGCATTTTGGTATTTCGGTGCAGTTTTTGCCGGTTTCATTTTATTTTGTTGTTAGTTTTTTGCTCTGTCTCGCATCTGGGCCGCTGTGTGTTATTGTTTAGTTTTTCCTAATGTTCGATTAAGTGCACTGCATACATAGCCATGCATGCACATTTGCTTCGGTATTTATTTACAATCATCAGTTATTCCATTCGAATGTTTTCGTTTGTATCGTTGCTGCTGCTGTTGTTGTTGATGGTCCACACACACTTGAAGCGACGGTCGGGTTCAACAGCATCCAGCGGGCAAGTGAGCGATGCAATCGTGCTGGGTGATGGAAACAAATCGCTTGCATCAGTACACAGCTAATGAAATGCAACTAATCCGCTATCAACAATGGACAGGATAATATGTGTGCGAGTGTATTGCACCAAAACATGTCGAAATCCGATTAACCCCAGCGCACGAAATTCCATTAAACGCGATGAATCGTTGCATAAAGAGAGAGAGAGAGAGAGAGAGAGAGAGAGAGAGAGCGAGTGCATTCATTCAGTTGATGATGATTTTTACATTTGCAGTTTTCCACCCATTTTGACCCGTTCGCAATTTTGGATAAGCTTTGGCTAAGCAGAAAATTGATTCAAACATTGTACACCACAATGCACGCAAAATGACATCGCAAATATCACTCAATAAATTATTCGATTTTATTTACAACGCATCGTCCAATCCAATATCATTATCTAAATGGAGTTTGAGCTCTGTCGCGTGGTAATAATTAGATTTATTACAACCAAGTGGCAAGTGACCATTTCACCGTGTATAGATTTCAATTGATTGCTTTTATCGGTTTGGGGGCTAAATGGCATTCGTATTTCAAGCGAGAGCAGATTGATATTACTAAAAGAATTTCAACCATTCAGAATATGAACCACGTTATCGTCAACCATTTAACACATTTGGCAAAATGAAAATGTCTCACACAATCAATTATGTGATCGTTTAAATTCCACAGTGGAAATTCAATTTTCTAAAAAAAGATGCGTTGTGCTGTGCCACTAATACGTACGTTGTCGGGAGCACAAACTACAAAAGACTCATTTCTCTCTCTCTCTCTCTCTTTCTCATTCTCGATTATTTATGTGTAGCATTTGCGCTGGCAATATCATTGTGTTGTCGATTTGCGTTCAGGTTAGCGGCAATGTCGATGTGATCCGGTGCGTTTCTGCCATTTAAAAATAGCATTTATGACGAAGTATTAGAAATTTTATTCGTTTTTTGTCCGTTCAATTTGTTTCATTTTCTTTGTTGTTGTTATTGTTATTTCATATACCCGACTAGATCGACGCGGCAGTGTCGACGGTCGAGACACATCATATGAATGCATTAAATAAACAAAGTTTCCATTTTTCAACAGCAATTCAATCCCAAAATTGTTGCACAGAAAAATTCCTAGAACTTTTTTGTTCCTGTTTGTCTTGTGCCCGTTGTTTTATTTTTCGCTTTCAGGATAAATACATTTCCGTTCGTTGTGTTAATCCGGTTTTGTGTTCAAAGATTTTCCCAGTTTTATTCATTTTAAATGGAATGCACTCGACCCAAATAGAAGCGGTGCTCGGACTTTATTTTTAATGTTGTCACATGACTTTTTCCATTTACCATTTTCTATTATTTTTATACAATACAGTACATACAAAAACAACACCGACTGCACCATTTCCAGAGCCAATAAATTGGCCAGCAAATAGAAACAGTCAACGCCGAAAAGTTGATCTGTTGATTCGGATGCCATTTTTGGTATGCGGAAAACTTTATCCAAATTGAATTAATTTTATTTATTAGAAATAAAACGAGAAGTGTTACAGTTTCACAGCTTATAAATAATTCGCTCCTTTCGCCCGTTGCACTGCATCTCGTTTAACATCCAGCTATTTTGGAATTGTGCCACACACATTCATAAGGCAACTTAATAATTGAAACATTTGCAATTTAATCAACATTATAAATATGGGACAAGAACTGACGTTCCGATTTTGATTTATTCAAGACACAATTCCATTGAACAATGACAACTGTTTGCGCGAAACACATCAAATATTGTTAATTGGTTTGCACAAATTTGGAATTTTGGACAACATTCCAGTTTTGTTTGTTCTCTATCTAGTGTCTGTGTTTGTGAAGCGGATTCGTTGATAAGACTATTTTAATTCATTGAAAACATTGATAATTTAATAAATTTTCCAAGTTATAAGTTTACTAAAATCCTACAAGAGACACTTTCATGGCTAGCAAACATTTATTACCAACGATGTGGCCGAATGATGAAATAAAAACGTCCATGGCCATGTTTTTGAGGTAAAATTATGCAACAGAAAGCATATTAATTTATTGCTTTGCATCTAATTTATTTACTAGTAACCGATTTAGATGTCGACTCGATAACATCGAGAGAATCGGTTTTTGTGTTCAACTATCGAGGAAAATGCATGAGTAAACAAAAGCTCGTGAGTAAATGTGGACGCCAACAAAAGTCAAAAGCATCAGTAGCAAATGTGGAGACGCCACATGAATTTCAAATGAGTGTACACATTTCATTCACATTAACGGCGGATGGATTGGGAGTAATAAAACATGGGTTTTGTGTGAATTCCTGAAATTCACCTCAAACATGTTTTCTGATGGCACGGAGTAGGACTTCGTAATAATAATAAATGTCAATCAAACGTTAGGAATGTAAAGATTCGTGTTTTTTGTATCATTTTTATCTAGTTTTAATTAAAATTGAAAGTCATTCAGATAACAAAGGACTTCAGACATCTTAACCCTCAACTGCATAAGCGCGCCTTTTGGCGAGCATCATTTCAACGCCTGTATAATGTGAACCGTACATCGGATCACATTGGTTTACAGGGATTTTAAATTCGTCAATTAGACCAAGAGCTGATCGTACAAACAACTTTTTTTTCTGTGTACGTCAGATTTTCATAAAATTATCATCTTCAGAACATATTCCATCACAATTGTTCTACTTCTTTTAATGTAATTGGGCGGATCGCTTGATTTGCGGTTTTATTCGCGCTACACGGAAAATATACTTTTTCTCCCCAATACGGCAGATTTTGGTATTAAAATATTCGCTATGATCTAAATAGCTTAGAAAATAAAAAATCTGCCCATTTAATTGGGCAATGGCTTTGAAAATACATGATTTTCATTTCAAAAACATCGTACAATATTGCATGTT